TAAACCAAGCCCACTTTCCTCCATTTTTTCCCAAAAAATCCCAAAATAACCAATTTTTTCCCCAATTTTTCCCAATTTTCCCCAAAATTTTTCTGGCCACGCCCCCTCCCTTTAGCCCCACCCTTTTCCCGATAAACCACGCCCACTTTTCCTCCATTTTTCCCCCCAAAAAATCCCAAAAAATCCCAATTTTTTCCCAGTTTCCCCCAAATTTCCATGGCCACGCCCCGTTTCCTTCAGCCCCACCCCTTTTCCTCCAAACCACGCCCACTTTCCTCCATTTTTCCCCCCAAAAAATCCCAATTTTCTCCCAAATTTTTCCCAATTTTTGTGACCACGCCCCCTCCCTTCAGCTCCACCCCTTTTCCTCTAAGCCACGCCCACTTTCCTCCATTTTCCCCCCAAAAAATCCCAATTTTCCCCAAATTTTCCCAAATTTTTCTGGCCACGCCCCCAACCTTCAGCCCCGCCCCTTTCCCTGTAAACCACGCCCACTTCCCTCCATTTTCCCCCCCCAAAAAATCCCAATTTTTCCCTTTTTTCCCCAAATTTTCCTGGCCACGCCCCCAAAGTTCAGCCCCACCCCTTTCCCGATAAACCACGCCCACTTTCCTCCATTTTTCAAAAAAAAATCCCAAAAAATCCCAGTTTTTTTCCAATTTTTCCCCAAATTTTTCCTGGCCACGCCCCCTCCCTTCAGCTCCACCCCTTTCCCTGTAAACCACGCCCACTTTCCCCCATTTTTCCCCCCAAAAATCTTTAAAAAATCAAAAAAATTCCCAATTTTTTTCCAGTTTTTCCCCAATTTTTTCTGGCCACGCCCCCAACCTTCAGCCCCACCTCTTTCCCGGTAAACCACGCCCACTTTCCTCCATTTTTCCCCCCAAAAATCCCAATTTTTTCCCAATTTTTTCCCAATTTTTCCCAAATTTTTGTGACCACGCCCCCTCCCCTCAGCCCCACCCCTTTCCCGATAAACCACGCCCACTTTTCTCCATTTTCCCCAAAAAAATCCCAAAAAACCCAATTTTTTCCCAAGTTTTTCCCAAATTTCCATGGCCACGCCCACTTGATGAAGGCCCCACCCCTTTCCCTCCAAACCACGCCCACTTTTCCCAAAAATTTTCAAAAAAAACCTCAAAAAAATCCCAAAAATTTCCAATTTTTCCCCAATTTCCCCCACATTTT